TGTCATTATTTATATTATTAATTAATTCCTCTGGTTCAATGTTGGCATTGTTGTCATTATTTATATTATTAATTAATTCCTCTGGTTCAATGTTGGCATTGCTGTCATTATTTATATTATTAATTAATTCCTCTGGTTCAATGTTGGCATTGTTGTCATTATTTATATTATTAATTAATTCCTCTGGTTCAATGTTGGCATTGTTGTCATTATTTATATTATTAATTAATTCCTCTGGTTCAATGTTGGCATTGTTGTCATTATTTATATTATTAATTAATTCCTCTGGTTCAATGTTGGCATTGTTGTCATTATTTATATTATTAATTAATTCCTCTGGTTCAATGTTGGCATTGTTGTCATTATTTATATTATTAATTAATTCCTCTGGTTCAATGTTGGCATTGTTGTCGTTATTTATATTATTAATTAATTCCTCTGGTTCAATGTTGGCATTGTTGTCGTTATTTATATTATTAATTAATTCCTCTGGTTCAATGTTGGCATTGTTGTCGTTATTTATATTATTAATTAATTCCTCTGGTTCAATGTTGGCATTGTTGTCGTTATTTATATTATTAATTAATTCCTCTGGTTCAATGTTGGCATTGCTGTCATTATTTATATTATTAATTAATTCCTCTGGTTCAATGTTGGCATTGCTGTCATTATTTATATTATTAATTAATTCCTCTGGTTCAATGTTGGCATTGTTGTCATTATTTATATTATTAATTAATTCCTCTGGTTCAATGTTGGCATTGTCGTTGTCGTTGTCGTTGATAAAATCATGAATTAATTCTTGCTGTTCAACGACATTGCGATGATTTTCAATTTCAATCTGGCAAATAAATAATAAAAAATTAGTTTATGATTTAACATGAAAAATTTACTATCGATATTAGTTTTTTATTCAACAAATACATTGATAATTTATACATACACAAAGATATGTAAAATTTTATGAACGCAAATGTCAAAGACACGGAATTTCTAACCACAAACAAGAAAATTAATAATTATGTACAGATAATTTTATAACAAAATACCCGTACAGATGCTTCATTTTTCTATACATGTGCATTTTTTTATACTTACTAATATTTATATTCTACTTATTTATATTTTATTTAATATCATTTTAGTTATAAAAATTAATTAATGACTGCTAAAATTACTTATTACATTTTATTATTTTATAACAACATTTTTACCTCTTGGATATCCAATTGCTGATGTAATCTATCATCATTGTCACTGTTACTATCACTATTATCATCATTTATTTTGAGCAAAGATCTTAAACGAGTTCGCTTTCTTTTCTTAGAGTAGTCATTGTAACCTTTTCTGGATTTTTTTCTTTCCATTTTTATAATATTTTTCACTTTAGATTAATTACTCCAAACTTTAATAAATAAAATTTCATCAGCTGACATTTAATAGTAAACAAGTAAACTCTTTGCACATGCGTCTCAGAAGAGCTTGGTAAAATAATACACTTAGTTACCGACTGTTGTCGAAAAAAAACATTACCGTTATTAGTGTGCGGGTGTGCGGGGATTTTATAAGAAGCCATTTTGTGATTTAGATTTCTTCGTCTTTATTGTTTATTTTGATTTGGAGTAATAATAAAATAATTATCATGCCTCCTAAAAAAAATAAAACTAACAACGAAAAGTATACCTTGATCTGGTGGATCGTAAGTGGAGAAAAAACGATCACCGAGTCTACAAAAATCCCAAAAGCAAAGCGTAAAAAAAATACAACTGTCAATTTATTATGGGAAGGGAAAAATAAGAAAAAAGAATTTTTCTATGCTAAAATTATTGAATTTGGAGGTAAGTATTCGTTCTTAAGTTGTGTTTAGATAAAAAAAACTTGTTAAATTATAATTAAAATAGTATTTAATAATAAATTAATTTTTATAGCGACAATGAATGAATTAGAGAAAATAAGGTTAGATAATAAAGGGAATATTTGTGATGATTCAACTAAATTATATACTGAAGACGTGCTTGAACAAAAAAAACAATTAGAAATATCGAAAAAAATTGCAAAAAAATTTGAAGAAAAAAATAATAACATACTAGAGAAAAACATCACTCATTTGAAACCATTATTTCCCATTGATAAGCCTCCACTATCAGGCAACAAAGAAGACAAAATTAATAAATTTAAATCAAAAATTGATAAGAAAGATTTGGCCAAAAAAAATCATGAAAGTGATCACCAAGTTAATTTAAGAGAACATAACACAGAAAATACTGTAATACGTCCTAACATAACTGAAACTATTTACGTTAGTGGACAACATGATGCCGAGCAAGATGGATCAATCAGCGTAAATGACAGTCAGCTTACTACTCCACCTGATTTAAGCAACTTACATCCTATTGGTAATGGTATTGAAAAATCTACAGACACTTTAGTAGACTCAGCATCCATATGGAATGATAATTATTTGAACAACTGAATGAGTGTAAATAATCCAGCTAGAGTTACTCAGAGTTCTCAAATTGAAAAGTGCGGTTACCCGACTGCATTTTTTTCATCAGATTTTTTGGAGTTAGGAAGTATACCCACAAAAGTATCATATACTCCAACAATGGAATGTTCATCTAATTATACGCAAAATAAAACTGCTTCGATTTTCCGACCTTGGGATTCTTTGAATGCTGTTGGTACGATGACGACATCTACTACAGTAGAAGAAGAAATATTTTTAGAGTCAACAGAACCGACAAATATTCACATTCCTGCTGATTTGTTAAAGGATACAGAGATTACAGAGGAGCCATTGAATATAGGAGCATTGCATACATTTTTAAAGAGTGAAGGTGCCAATTAATTACTTTTATTTTCTGAAGCGAGTTGCAGATTTTTATATAAAAAAACGGATAACTATTTATTGATAGGAAATTGAATTATTTAATACTTATTATGTTCAAATCAGTATAACAAATAATAAGGTTGTTTTATTTTTTCTATGCAATTGTTATTTATAATGAAAATATTATAAACTTTCAATCATAATGCTAATTTTATTGTTAATTCAAGAAAATCATTCTGACTTACAATTATTTTGGAATCGATTAAAAAAAAATTTTTATTTCTATTTCATAAATCAACGTTTTTTCTATGAAAATTTAATCTACCATTTATTTTTACTTAATGAATTAAATTCAATTCTTAACTCTCAATCTTTATAGATCGTTATTATTAAAGTATTGATAATCATGCAACCGTATTCTAAGAATATCGATATTTTTTCTAATTAATAATCATTTTAGTGAGAGAGTGTGATTTACAATTTGTTCGCGTGCTCGAAAAATCTGTAATTCAAGCATACGAGTCGTATAAAAGATACAACCGCCAATCAACTGCAACTCTCGAGGTAAAGTTCATAAATTTTTTAATTATTAAAATATTAACAACTTTAGAGTAGAAATAGAAATAATTATTTTTTACCATTTTTTACAGATTCCTGAGTTTTATACTCGTTCAGGGGAACATATGGTAAATTTAAAAATTCCTTATTATATTAATAAATGTTATAATTCTATAAGTCTAACCATCATGATTTCGCAATACTTACATTAGGTTGAGATAACACCAGATTCGAAAATTTATTTCCCTAAAAATATTAAACAGCAGATTGAAGAAATGAGTGAAGGTGACAATGGTTGTGATTGGGAAACGATTGTACGGTTATCGTTAAAAGAAGTCTATGATGACAATGTTGGAAACTACTCCGCCAAAGGTAAAGCTACAGGATCTAACACCATTGCACATCCACCAATTGACACTCGATTGTACAATGGAATTTATAGTTAAGTTGCAAAAAACCTCGTTTGTTTTACTATCATAAATTTACGCTGTTGAATATTTTTTTAAATATATGATTATTAACGTTTTGTTATTTTTTTTATAGAATGGGTGAATCAAAAAGTTGGTAATTCTAAAATAATAACTGAGAAAATGTTTAATAAGGTTATAAATAAGTTTTGTTTAAACAAAAGAGAAATCGGTTCTAAAGAGAATTTCGATCAATCGGATATGAGTAAGTAGATTTTTAAAAATTAATATTAATTTTTTGACCAGCTAAAAAAATTTTTTTTTACTTAATAAATATTTATATAAAAAAAAAATTTGAATAATTTTATGTTATAATTTTTAGTTACAGATGAAAATTTGCAGTTCTTTCGAAAACTCGTAAAAGTTATTGAAGAATCATATGACATCCAACAAAGAGAGATGTTGCCTGAACGGCAAACCCACCAGGTAATTGAAAATATTAATTAAACAGTTGACATTTTACATTAATCTTTTTCTTGTACAATGAATATTAACTTATTAATATATTTTCAGCTATCAAACTTATTTACACAACCTGCTAAAAGCAAAATCAAAATTAGCCCACTCTATGAGATATACCTTCCTAAAAGTACATACACCTACGTTGAACGTAGTAGTGAGACAGAGAGAGGCAAATATGATTGGCGTATTTTGGTCAAAGAAGCACTACTTGAAATTTACGGTGATAGCTTAAAAAATTATTCTGCCAAAGGGAGGCGTGGTGGCTCGCCAGGTATCAATACAGAATTGTATCGAGCTCTGTACGGTAAAATATAAAATATAAAATAAGAATTATTATTTTTAATTCTTCTTTACGCCGCGAAAAACTATAGAGTAACCACGATAAATTAATTATTGAAATATATTGTTATTAATTATTAAAGTTATACCTTTTTGAATCGTTTGCATACTTATATAAACAATACTTTCTATTAGCAATTTTAATAAAAATTATTTTAGAGAAAAATTTATTTATAGAAAAAAGTGTTAAATTAAATGACTTATTTAATTAATTTATTTCAGATTGGGCATCTTCATTAGTCAATGACGAACAAATTACGGATGCCGATTTTGTCGATGTTATTAATAAGTTAACAACAAACCAAAAAAAATTAAAAAAAAACATTAAAAAATAAATAATAATTACGTATTTAAGAAAATTTAAGTTTCTATTAAAAAATGTTTATCTCCTTGTTTCAATTTTATTTAAAATAAAATATATTGAAGAATATTTTACGACTAACTTATAACCCACCTCAGACAATAACTAAATATATCGGTCGTAGCGTAGTGCGTTAAGCGGATAGTCTGGCGAGCGTTAGGTTGTAGGTTCGAATCTCGGGTAGGGCGAAATTATTTAATAAGTTAAGCGTATGTGTAATTTCTAAGTGCGTAGTGTGATTATATCTCTATAAAGCAAATAAAGATCATCTCCCCTGGCCTTAAACCTATAAAATCCTATCTCCATCTACGATCCAGAAAAAAAAAAAAATTTTGCTTTTTAATCCTAATTTTAAATCGCAAATAACATGATAATTTTTTTTATATTATGTATTTATCAATATTAATTTTAATCAAGTACTATATAATTGTGATCAATACATAATACAACTAATAATTATCATTAGCAACTATAAATAACGTTATGCTATTTGAAAGAAAAATTATAAAAAAAAAAAAAAAAATGTGACCACAGTGGGATTCGAACCCGAATCGCTAGGTATTTTTAAATATAATATTACTATTATTATTATATTTTACATTATTATTATTTCGGGCCTGGTTTGATCGTAACTGTGTCAGAATGGGACAAAACTCCTATGATTACGACAAAAACAGGCCTGCGCCTATAGAGCAACCAAGAACAGCAGGTCTGTTTTGATCGTAAAAATGTTCCGAAACTAACTTGTCAAAAAAATACGATTAAAATAGACCTGAAATTTCGACTCGGGTGCATTCTCAACAAAACCGAATACGTTGTTAATAATTCATATCAGTAATCACGCTGTATTTATTAAATATTACTTCGGCTGACGCTCA